GCGTGAGTTCTGTAAGCAGCGCATAAACCATGGACATTCACATGGAAATGAGGTTAATTACACAGCATAGATGCATCTAATGATTGCACCTGCAGTGCCACAACAACCTCCCTTTAACTCAGTTTCACAAACAATTACAAAGAGCAGCTGCATTCGTTTCCACAGTTAGAGTTTAAAAATCTGTAATGATCCCCAACAGAATAGAGGTGCAGGGGGTGAGAGTGAGGAAGGAGAGGATTCTTCCGGTTCAGATGTCCGTCCCCAGCCACCTGCTGATTGTGCTAATCCCGGGAGCCTTGGACACAGACAGGCAGCCACAATAAGCTATTGCCAGTCCTGGTGTTTAGCTTCCCCCTCATCCCCACTTTCTGGCTTAGATTAGAGTTTCTCATCTGTCAAGATTCATTAACATGGTGATGAAGATTTATGAAGGGCAAGGTCAGCAAAACTGCAGACTACAAGATCACTGTGAGTACCCAAACTGTATTAGTCAGGGTTCTCCAGAGAAACAGAGCCAAGAGGAAGTGTTTGTGTGTGTGTGTGTACGTGTGTGTGTATGTGTGTGTATTGTATGTATGCATCTTTTTATGTGAGTGATACAGTGTTTCTAAAAGCCCAAGAGGGTTTTGAAGGTAGACAATGGGAATGTCCATGGTTCATTCTATATTCATTATATGCATTCTATATACATAGAGAGAGAAACGTTCATTGTAAGGAATTTGCTCATATGATGACAGAGGCTGACAGGTCCTAAGATCTGCTGGCAGCAGACTGGAGACTCAGGAGAACTCATGGTGTTGTTCCAGATCAAAGGCCAGCAGGCTCGAGACTGAGGAAAAGCTATTATTATTTCAACTGGAATCTCAAGACAAGAAAAAAACTAATGGCCCAGCTTGAAGGCAGTCAGGTAGGAGGAATTCTCTCTTCTTGAGGGTAAGGTCCCCTTTTTTTTTGTTTTATTCAGGTCTTTCACTGATTGGATGAGACCGACCTATCTTAGGTAGGGCAATCTGCTTTACTCGGTCTATCAATGTAATTGTTAAACTTATCCAAAAACACCTTCACAGAAAGACTCAAAATAATGTTTGATCAATTACCTGGGCACCTCACGGACCAGTCAACTTGACACATAAAATTAATCATCATAGAAACCAGTCCCCAAATCTCCAGAATGATTCCGTGGGAGCAATGCTACTGAGTGAAGCTCGAAAGATTGTTTCTTATCCTTTTATCCCCCCTTCTCCATCAACAAATTAACTCTCTTATTTTTTCTCCAATTTCTTTTTGTTCTCTTCTTTATTTTCTGTTTTCCTTTCTACATGCCCGTCGTTATTCCCACAGACATTGATATGATTTGGCTGTGTCCCCATCCAAATCTCATCTTGAATTGCAGCTCCCATAATTCCCACGTGCTGTAGGAGGGACCTGGTGGGAGATCACTGAATCGCTGGGGCGGTTTCCCCCACACTGTTGTCATGGTAGTAAGTCTCACAAGATCTGATGATTGTATAAGAGGTTTCCCCTTTCACTTGCTTCTCATTCTCTCTTAGGTGCCGCCATGTAAGATATACCTTTCATTATGAGGCCTCCCCAGCCACGAGGAACTGTGAGTCCATTAAACCTCTTTTCCTTTATAAAATACCTGGTATCGGGTACATCTTTATTGGCAGTGTGAAAACGAACTTTACAGACACAGTTCAGAAATAGTAGGAGGACACTTCACCACCACAAGTGCTGACTCCCACCCCTAAACATAACTAAGGCTTTACACAGCCAAACAGCTAGCATGTCCCTTTCTGATGAGTATTTGGCTCTCAGAGTCAGGAAGCTCTGTATTAACGTCGGTGAAGCTGGTTGAATAAACCATGGATACTCACTTGTCTCCCTTCAAAATCCTCTTGGGCTTTTGGAAACACTGTATCACCCATATAAATATATTAGTCTCATTACTTTACAGTTTCAGCTTGTTTTGGGATCCAAATGGGATTCCCCAACTGTAAAAGGTAATTGACGGCCGCCAAAGTCAAATCTGCCCTCAGATATTTAAACATTTAAGGAATGTGCCTCAGGCTCTAAGAGCAATTCTGAAAAAAGAAGGTCCAAATGCTTATGAAAAACTGCATAACCTTCGAAAGGGTCTGAGTCAAAGTCAAGAATGACCATGGGGGAGTGTACCTTTTTATATTCATTAAAATAACAAGATTTATTTACCTTTTAGTCCCATCTCATATTTCTTTTCAGATCCTATCCCCCCTAAAAGACAAAAGGGACACACGAACTAGGCACAACCATTAGTAGTCATCTACAAAACGGCCAGAAATTGTTTCTCTGTGCTCTGTCCACTCTGTTCCAGATTCAACTAGCTTCCGATAGATGAGAGGCAGGAGGCATGGAACTAAGTTTATCTCAGGGAAAAACCATCTAACCTCCAGCGGTCATCTCTGTAGGTCTCCATACATCAAGCTCTGCTTAAGGAAACTATGCCAAGATCTTTACCCTCGTATAGGTGAGGAAGGTGGGGGTAGCAGGGTGGGGGCCATTGTTGATGAAGGAAGGCAAGCGATTGTTTCCTTGCTCACCCCTTCATTTTAGGGGTCAATCTCATATGTAGAAGGTAAATGAAGTTATTTTACAAGTCTGAAGTAAACAGAGATGTACCAGTGAACTTTTGTAAAACAGACTAACTTCCTATAGCTTTGACTCCACACACAACCTGATTTGATAAAATGCTGAAAAGAACACACCCTATCTTCATTTTGCATCAATCCAGAATAGACAAATTGCGGTGTTTTGAAAATGTTCATGGCCTGGCCTTGTTACTCATAGCTTACCTTCTCAGAGGTTAATCACAAAGTAATGTTCAGGCCAGTGGGTCTAACCTCAAAATATGTTGACATCACGAATAATGGTTTGCAAAGAGTGGAACATCACAATTTGTGATGGAAGGCGTGATACAGGCACTTAGGTAAAGTGTACTCAGGGTGGGAAAAACATAGAGTTGACTAATTACTGGCAAACAGATGCTAGGAAATTGTCCATCTTTACTCACACTGTGGCACCCAGCTGATTTCTGCCAAGCTGTGTGGTGCCCAAATTTGTTCCCTGGTGATGCTAAAACACATACTACCTAAATATCTTCTGTTACCACTGGTATCTCTAGAATCATGTTCCCTGAATGTATAAAACTCATTTATATTCAAGACAACTTAAAAACCACATCCTAACTGGGATGTTTGTAATAAAATAATTGCAAGAACATAATACAGTTTTAGGACTTAAGGGAAACACGCACATATTTTAACAGGCCATCATTGGTTTAATTTGGATTTTCAAAAACAGTTCATCCAAACAAGAGTTCTGTTTACACTTGGGGAGGCTCATTTGGCTTGTTCTCTTTTGCAAAGCGCAATGTTTCTGTAATATGTTTTGGTGGCATCATTTCAAATCAAAATAAGGAAAGGGTTTCTCAAAAATAAAACCAGAGACAGCCAAATAAGGATCTGCTAAGTCAATTGGTTGTTTGCTTATTTATATTACGCTTTTTTCTCCCTCCTTTGGGAATCTGTATTAAAACACACACCACACACACCACACACCAACCTAGGTAGAGATTAGAACAGAAGGGAGCACCATGTCCTCTGGTTCTGGCTTCTGTGTTAATTTGAAAAAAGGGGTGTTTATCTATCTATCTATCTATCTATCTATCTATCTATCTATCTATCTCTCTATCTAGATTTACGTATAATTTTTATAGTTCTAAATGAAAGCGGATAGACAGATGCTGGGTAAACAGTTTAAAATGTAAAACAAAGATACTTTCACCAAGTCCCACCTGTTCAAACATGCTATCATTTATTTTTTTTTCTTAGGAGAAAACCTCTGAAGCTGGTTTGTAATTGTTAAACTAATCTGTAACCTAAGGGAGAATAAAGCCACCAAAACCTTATAGAAATGAAGGATATTACAGAGGCATGCCCACCCCCAGATTTAACGTTCCACTTCCATGTGGTTTTGGAACACATGAGAAGTTTTAGTTGTACTTGGAAAGAAAAAAACACACACCAACAACATTTGGAAGAAACACTGCTATAAATAGAGAGATCCTCGCAGTAGAGGGGGATGCCACTTATTCGGGCTGGCAGTAGCGAGTTTTATTAAAAATATTTTTTCCCTTTACCAGACGCTGCAAAGAAAACAAAAAGTGTATATCTCAGGATGAGGATAGCTGTAACATGAGGAAGTTCATGAAACATGTTGATTCATTCATCTATTTGACAATAATCTGTGGACCACCTACTATGTACCAAGTCTTGGATAACAGCAGTGGCCAAGGAAGACGATGCCCATCTGCTCTTAGAACTCACATTCTAGAAGGTACTTGCAGAAAATAAATACATTAACAGAATGAAACAGAGCAATGTAATACATGAGAGAGACTGAGGAGTGTAAGGGCTGTTTTAGATCAAGTGGCCAGAGAAGGTCTCTCTGAGGAGATAGCATTTGACCTTAGACCTAAGTGTACGCAAGATTAAGCCACCCAAGCTAATAACCTGCCAAGTGTCTGCCTGACATATGTTTAATTTCCCATTGCCTAACCCAATTGAAATCTCTGTCCTGTCATTCCAGCTCTTAATGGTCTAACAATCACATATCCTTCAACCTTATCCCCTACTCTGCTCCTTTAAAATTTCTCAGCTACAAACCTAACTAGGCTTCTTTGTTTATGGCCTTATGATTTGCTTATAGAGAGCTAACTCAATAGGCCGTTTACCTCACACCATTTTTTAATGACCAAATTCTCCTATCCTTCAAGAACCTTTGTAAATGGTACCGTCTCCATGGAGCCTTTTCCAAAACCACTTAAGTCATGTCCCCTTCCTTGAAATCCAATCCCGATATGAACATAACTTTTTCATCTCATTTTATAATGTCTTCTTCTCCTGGTACCCTAGTGATTTACGCATTTCACCTATTTCCTCTACTTGACTGTAAATTCTTTGAGAACAGCTCTCTTTGTCTTGACCATTAGTATCTCTTCCAGTTCCTTACTGAAAGTTTTCCCAGTCCTCAATAAACATAAATGGCATAACCAAAGAATGAAAGTTAATCTATAAATACAACACACACACAAAATGAGGGGGGTGTGTGTGTGTGTGTGTGCGCGTTTAATTTATCAAAGTGAGAGGCAGCATCTTTAAAGGGAAATAACAATAATACATGTCTTGGTTTGCTTGACTTCTCAGTGATAAACTTGCTGAAAAAGATTTGTAACTTATGTTTCCATTCATTATCTGCATTTCTCAACCATGATGTAAAGTCACAGAAAATAAAAACTAACAGGCACCTGAGGGGGTCTTCTGGAAGATGAATTTGAAGCTTGGAGAGATAAGATGATTAGCTCAGGGTTTCAGCAATAGATCCAAGACTAGCAATCAAGATTCTCAACTCTAAACACAGCATGTTTTGATAACACATTGTCTTGTTCTCCACCATCTAATAATTTTAAATGAGAAGAGTTTTCATTTTTTTCTGTCATACTGTCTTTTAAGAATTTTAGACAAACTGCTTCTGGGAAAAAACAATCCCTTAATTACTATGATATGCAAATGGAAAAAAATCCTTAAAAAAAAACCCTATTAATGAAGCGTCACACCAGTTGCATCATTTCTGGCTCTGCGCCACACAAAACAGAGCTGGTAGGTAGTGTTTATCTCTTTATGTCTCCTTATGTTTCAAAATAACTGACTTTCAGGAAGAACTGAAACTGAAATTGTTCCCAACATCACTCAAAGGGAAATGAGTGCAACGAGGCGCTATGGGAAAGTGAAAAGAAAGAAAGGAAGGAAAAAACCACATTGATGCATAGTATAGCCCGGAGTAGAACAGAGATCGGGAGGGCTTGCCTGTTCCAGCAATAACAGGAGTTGACATTTGTTACATGTTGATTACACGGTATTGTCTTTTGGAGGTTAAATCAATCAGAAATTTCCTGTACAGCTAATAAAATTGGAACCCACCTGTGGTTTGCCAAGTCACATTAGACATTGTCTCAGGACAGAGTAAGAATGCTTGGGCTTTACTGTATTCTAGGCAGAAGAAACGAGAAACCACTTCTTCAACTGAGTTAGAGTTGTTAGTGCTGTCTTCTAGTAAAGGGCTCAATGTAATAAAATGTATTATTATAACTTCCATTTATTGAAAGTGTATTGTGCAGCAGGTACTTTTCTAAACACTTCACAATAGAATCTTAGTTCCTTGAAACTAAACCTGATGCAGTAAGTGTTATTAACTCCATTTTAAAGAAACAGAAACTAGATCTCAGAGAGGTTAATCAAGTTTCCAAGGTCACACAGCTAGTAAACACTGTATTTGGAACTTGAACTCATATTAAAATCCCAGCTTGTATCCACTCCAGTGTATATGGTAAGTGTTCATCTAATACATGATGATTCAACTGAACACTAGTAAGACAAATCAGAAAGGGAAAATCTTATAGCTTCCACTAAAAGTGTTGATTTAATTGGACTATTTTATTTTATAAGGAGTAAAGTTGTTTTGAATATTTAAACTAAGTGCCTCCTAAAACATTTGGCTGTCTTCTATTTTGAAATAATTCTCAGGCAACAGATACCCTATGACAGATTAGATGAGCCGCAAAGATTTTAACTAAATTTATCTCAGTGCTAAGACTAGTTTCAGTTAAAAAAAAAAAAAAACCCGGCAAATGAATAACTCACTTTAAGTTATTCTTATTTATATTGGCTTTTGAGGACTATCACATGAAAATAAATTCAGAGCTCCAAAGATCTGATTTTTTTAAACCATTTTAAAATTCATCTCTTTCAAGAAGTTTCTGCTGATTCCTTGTACCAAAGGCTATGCTTCTTCACTGGTTTTCCAAACTCAGCATATTCAATTTGAATCATATTTATATTCGCATGTAGAGTTGCTACACTGGGATTGCTTTTTATACAGGTAGATTTTGTTGGGGTTTTGTGGAGGGTGGATAAAATTTTTCACTCAATTTGCTTAAAACCCATTTCCAAATTTCATTCAATCTCAGATGCCACTGATTTGTTAAAACATACCCTTAATTAATTTAGGACTAAAACTTTTTTTTTTTTAAGGCCAACAATTAATTTATTGCACAATGTTTTATAACCACATGAATGGTTAGACTTATTCCATTTTTACAGATGTTAAAATGTAAAAATTAAGTACATGGTAGAACCCATGAAATATATTTACATGTTTTTTTCTGACACATGTAGGTACTGAATTCATGTTTGGATTAGCTAACTGGTTACAGTGGAACTAGAAAGCGTTTATATCCTTCTGGATTTAAAAAATTCTTTACCACTTTCATCAATAAGGTGATTATGAAGGTAGAAACATGTGTTGTGTGTTTTGAGAACATAGAATTGCTTTTATTCTCCAAAAATGAGGCTATGAAGGTCCTTGTCAGCTCTGTTTTTCTGCTGACTACCTCAGTTAAAGAGCAGGTTAAACTGCCCAATAAACTTACAGAATTTTTATCTTTACTTCATTTTATTTACTTATGTTTATTTTATATTTTCAAGGCTTCTAACACTAATCAGGCCATAGAAATCAGTGGAAATACTCCATGAAATAATTGTCTCATAGCTACAAAAGTTAACTGTCCCATTTTGATAAGGTCAGCGAAGTTAGTTTGCCTTCTTTTCACACCCTGGTGTCCTCAGTAAATTCTAGTAGAGGAGGCATATTGACATATTACCAACTCTTTCTCATATGTTGTAGATCTGGTCCCCCTATGAATCAGCCACAACTCACTTTCTTAAATTCCCTTAAGGCCCACACTGGCTTGGCCCATTTTGCCTCCTGTGTGAGAATTAGCTTCTAGCTATCCTAGTGCTGTAGAGTGCCTTTAATTGGCTGCCTGATAAATGACACACTGTATTCTTTTTATTGGTATAATTCCCAGGCAGCTGATTGGATACAGAGAAATGACAGGAGGATTGCTGGCTAGGCTACAGTCTTGCTTATTAGCCAACACAGGTGGGACTGGTATTTGTCAGCCTGAATTTCCTTCTGCATTTGTCTTTGTTACTGTAAGGCAGACCTCTGGCTCTCATCAAGATGTTGAAAGTGAATTCTTACACATGTTCTCAGGCTGAAATTCGACTTTCCTCCGAGGCCATGTCAATATGGTCAATACAAAGGAAAGAAATTCAGCACATTATCCAAATGACTCAAGGACCCAAGACTGAGAAAGGAAAAAATTGATTTTACAAAGGGGAGAGAGATGATTTAATTATATAAGATTTCAAATATCTGGACATATGTGAATTCCAAAGTCAAAGCAACTTCTCTGGAGAATTGTGTCCCTATCTTAGACAATGCTGCAGAATCAGCCTCATCTTTATGTTTTCTTTAATGTCACATGGGCGGAATGAATGCTTTCTTCTTCCTATAAGGAAAGTAGAAATTGCTTCATCTAGAGTGAGGAGTTTTGCCTGTGTACTTACAGAGATATTAAACCAAGCGCTTTTCCCCCTTTTTCTAAGGATGAAACAATTTGAAAGTTTATACTGCTATACATGAAGCACCATTCTTAGACTTTTTTCCCAAGACTATCATAAGCAGTTTGCCTCCAGCAACTGACAACATCAGTTTTACATGTAGGCATAGACAGCTACAATTTGACAGGAAGGTTCAAGTGAGCTTTCCTACTTTTTTTCTCATTGGAAGGAGGTTAACTTTGAGCTATATCTGTAGCTCCCTTTAAACCATGCACACATGTGGGCTGACCTTGACAGGGTCTAAACCAGCCCAATGTAACATCTTTCATTAATGCACATAACTACTCTGGGGTCTTCCTCCTGTTGTGTGTGTCATCATAACACACCACGCCTCCTGCACCTTGTCAAATATTGTTCCCTAATTTAGAAATGTTTTATTATTCCAGGGAGGCAAAAAAAATTATTATGAGGACGAATATTACATTATACATTCAAGAAAACCTATTTCTAAGTAAAATCAGGAAATGAACCGAATTTGACTGAAGCCCACTCAAAAATATTTTTGTGCTTTAGTTACTCTTTCTTCTAACATTTAATTTTTTCCATTTCTCCAGAATCCCCATGAATTTATTTAACTAGGCAGAATTTTTAAACTGTAGCACCTTGTCTGGGCTGCTGTCTTTCAATGTTACTTAAGCTGAAAAATTCTTTTCTTGCTACTTTTTCGTCTCATCTGACCCTTTCCCTCTAATCAGATTTCAAATTACTTTACAGCATAGAAGTAGAACAGCAGTCTGATTAATTAATCTGTTATATTAAAATGATAATTCATGAGATAGATCATGTTATTTATTATTATTATTATTTTTGACATAGAGTCTTGCTCTGGAGCTCAGAGCTGAAGTGCAGTGGCATGATCTCCACTCATTGCAACCTCTGCCTATCGAGTTCAAGCCATTCTCATGTCTCAGCCTCCCGAGTAGCTGGGACTACAGGTGTGCACCACCATGCCAGGCTAATTTTTGTATTTTTAGTGGAGATGGGGTTTTCCAATATTGGCCAGGCTGGTCTCAAACTCTTGACCTCAGGTGATCCACTCACCTTGGCCTCCCAAAGTGTGGGATTACAGGCATGAGCCACAACGGCCAGTCAGCTCATGTTATTTCATTTCCTCTTCTTTCTGAAATAGTTTTACTTGCTCTATTCTATTTAATTTTTCCAGCCATCATAAATGTTAATTCTGATTCTCTTGTCCTGGAAACCTTCTCTGACCCTCCCACCCACCCACCCCTAGCACATAGTGAGCTCCCATTTCCTGCTCTATTTTACCGTGTCACAAATTTGTTATATTTTAATTAAATGGCGTTATTGACTACATACATCATGCTCTTTTCTCTTCTATGATTTTGTTCTCTTCAACTATTAAAAATTGTTATATCTTCTCGGAAGACAGAGGTTATAGTAGTTAGTAACAGCATAAGAAAAGTTTGAAAAATCAACGATCAAATGTTTTCTCTACTGTTTACTGACCATGTGATTCTGAACATGTGTCGTTTCAGAATTGCTTTCATGTTCTCCAAAAATTTGGAATAAAAACTGTCTTAGGTGGTATAGTGGCTAACTACATAAGGCATTAAATATAATTTCCATAGTGTACAGCCTGACATGTAGCCTGTGCAGTTCGTATTACCTCCCTTATATTAGGTGGGTGCAAAAGCCATTGTGGGTTTTTTTTGCCTAAATACATGTTTTATTCTCGGTACTTGGCTCTATGCTTCACTTTCAGCAACTAATCACTCTTTGCTGATTGATGTTGATGCAATCATCAGCACATCCTACCTTTTCTCTCTCCCTAAAAATTGGTTTATCTTCAAAAGATAGCCTGATTCTCAGTAAGTCAAGCGCTTTACAGGGAAGCCTGTGATATTAACTTGAGGAGCTGCTACAGACATTGCGTAGTCTTCAGGAACAGATCAGGGGAGGCCACTCTATGAATCCTGGCAACCAAGGTAAAAATTCAGCCACCATAAACAGCTAGTTTGGAATGGAAAGGGTAGAGAAACAGCTCGCAGTTAAAAATTAACAGTGTGCTATAAACTTTTCCTTTAAATAATAAATTAATGTAGGATTCGATAGAGTTAGAGTCCCTGTAAGACATCTGATGAAACAGTTCCAAGTGTGAGCCAGAGAAGGCGCACATCAGAGGCGGGAGGACTCTGTGGCTTCTCTCAATGCCTTCCCTCCTTTCCTATCTGCTGAGCTAGGAATGAGCATTACTTTTTCTGTTTGGGGTAGTTGTACCTTGGGAGGTTTTTCTACAAACAACCCCTAGAGGGTGCAATAACCCTCTTCCTCTTACATTCTCAGCTAGAGACCAGGGGCATGTATACTGTTGGAAAGTTAATCTGTTCCAAATAATAGCCAGACTCAAGTGGCTCAAAATTCAACTGCAAATAATTTAGACCCAATTTTCAGCTGATTAGCCTTACAACCTGATACCTATAAAGTGCCTACTATGTGTATGTCTTCTTCTGTTTGCACAATTTTCCAATTAGACATAAACATTAAATTGACCTCCATTCTTCAGTTATCAAAAGCTGACCTCTATATTTCTAGGTCAACTAGAATAGTAATTTTAAAATCTGATATTTTATTTATAAGAAGAGTGTTTTATCTCATTTCCTACAAAAAAAGAGAATGCTAAAAAATGTATCCCTATTTAGTAACTACAAATTTTTAATTTGAATATAGAGTGTCCTAATTTGCTAGAATAAATTAAATGTTTATATTACCACTTTATATAGATTAAAATTACAACTTTAATTTTTTTACTCAGACATCGAATAGAAACATAGATGTTGCTCATAGAATATTTATACTTACGAAAACTGATACAACACGAAACTGAGGAAATGCCCTCTCTAAGCCTTAGTTTTCTCATTTATAAAATAGGAGATATTTGCACATCTCCATGTGGTTGCTTTAAGGGTGAAATGAGATCATCCATATGAAGCACTTAGAACAATGCCTATCATACAGTAAGCAGTCAATAAACACCAGCTGCTCTTAAGAAGGACACACAATTTTGTGTTACAATATTCTAAAACCTGTAATAAAGCACAGCTTTATTACAAAGAGGCATATCACATAATTCTACATTGCCATATCTGATTCTAACTATTCTAACATTTTAGATGTCATTTATTGATTATAGACATATATATGTAATGCACGTAAGGAAAGATTTCAGATGCAAGTCAGAGTAGTTGCTGGTAGGGAAACACACAAACACACACACACAAATTTCACTTAGTCAATTTGAATAGTGTCAGTCAATGACTCAGAACTGGAAAATTGTAGAGCTTCCTATATTTCAGTAATACCATTTTTTAAATTTTTGTGCCATTTTTAATTTTTTTGAGCAACATATATTTTGTATCTTGGCAATTTTCTTATTTGATTCCAGAGTACTCACTCATAAAATCATGATCACGTAGGGCAATATAGATTGGAAAGATAAAAGAGATTCAATAACCTACACATGTCCTCTTGCAATCTAATTTCCTTTTACAGAACTAAATTTGTCTTAGAGACACAGCCAATTATCTTAAAAATAACTGTACTCCACACCTATTGTCACCTTCTTCACTCAATAGAGAACAATGGACATCTGAATTAACAAAAGGGAAACTGAGGAACTTCAGCACAGCTTCCTCAAATGTAGCACCTTTACCCTCAGAATGTGAAGTTTATGGATTAGGCATTGACTCAGGAATTTGCCTGCAAATGCTGGAGGTCCCCATGACCAAATAAATCTTGCCTCATCTACAAACTGAAGCTTGAAATTTCATGTTAGCAAACTCTCTCCTTTTTTTGCAGGTTTTCATCTGTATGAGGAATATAACTTCATGTTATCATCATAGCTTTACAATTTCAATCATTTAAAATCTAACACAAATGAAAAACTTGATGACTTATTAGTAAAAGGGTGAGTGGAGTATTCAAAGGCACTGATAAAAAGAAGAGAGTTAGGCCGGGTGCAGATCAAGCCTGTATTCCCAGCACTTTGGGAGGCTGAGGTGGGTGGATGACTTGAGGTCAGGAGTTCGAGACCAGCCTGGCCAACGTGGTAAAACCATGTCTTTATTGAAAATAAAAAAAATTAGCAGGGTGCGGTGGCACACACCTGTAATCCCAGCTGCTAGGGAGGCTGAGGGAGGAGAATCACTTGAATCTGAGAGACGGAGGTTGCAGTAAGCCAAAATTACTGCACTCCAGCCTGTGTGAGAGAGTGAGACTCTCCCAAAAGAGACAGACAGACAGAGAGAGAGAGAGAGAGAAATAGTCCAGAAAAAAAGACCTCCGCTCAAAGCTAACATCTTGAGAACATAATATCAATTCCTTTCAAGTTTTGTTAATGGTTCCTAGGTGAATGGGTGAGACTGCATGGCTGGCTTCTAATTGTGTCTCTCCAACTTTCCACCCCAGAAGATGACTATATAGGGTCTTGCTTGCTGCCTTGGTCTTCTTCTGTTTTCAATCCATATCATTGTTTTAGCTTTTGCAGTATAAATACACATCCACAGGCACATGTGTGTATGCTGTAGTGTTTTACTGTGGGTGTTTAGTGCAAGGCATACGTGATTTGTGGCTTTGGCGGCCTGATTTGGGTTTTGCCCTTGAGAAAAACTCTGGTTCTGATGTGTGTATATAGTAAATGAAGCATACTAATGGCATAATTGGTACACGGTGGATCATGCTGTAACCCCAGATTGCACGGATATCTCAACAGCGAGCTGACTTAGGAACAGCACGTTGTACTTTGCCTTCCATAACCTCCCCGAGTGTGCCCTTCCAGGTGAGATGCATGGAGCTGGGGGTTGTCCAGGTTCTTGACAGTAGGTTTTGTTTCAAGCAAATATAATACGCTTACATAATAAACATTGTATGCAACACCTGAAATAAAAATGATTATCCTGGGGATTATCTTTGCCAGTCTCTGCCCCTTCCCAAGAGTACTGCTATATCAAAGCAAGAAGAGGCTTTGAAACGTGTGAGAATATCCATTTCATCCATTGCATACAAAAGCCCCTTTGTCAGTTGAAATCACTAGATAACCTGTAACACTATTCCACTTCAGCGTAAGCCAGAGATTGACTTATGAAGAATACTTTCAAAGGTCCTGGTCAAAACATTGACTTGAGCTGAGAAGAGTAGAGAGTCTTTTGAAGATATAAATATCTGGAAAGCAAAGAAACTCTTTCTGGACTATATTACACCAAAATTGCTAGTTCCAGGTAGGAGAGGAATTCTAGTATCTTAAAAGTGGTGAGTGCATTTTACATATCTTAGTCAAGAGATACTCTGGGTCCAAAAAGCAGGTGTTCTTCTAAGGCATTTCACTTCCAGAAAAACTGTTTTCCTGGGCACACTGGGAAGACTTACTCACTATACAGGGCCCTGACAATCTGATCTGATCAAATACAGCACTGGAAAGAATTTGGCAAAAGGTTATTCTGATGGATTGGTGTCATAATCTCATCACCTGTTTCGCAGTTAATTTCCCTGTTCCAGTCTTCCCAGTAATAATTTTCTAGCCTCAGGAATATGTTCTTCTATTTCCCAAAGTCCTTATATTTTTCATTGTCACCTGGAAATCCATACGTTAACAACTGCTTAAATCCCAAGGGAAAACTGGCGTTGAACAGAACGGTTTTCATTTTTCCAATTTATTTAATTTGTGATCACTGCCTACAGAAATTTTGAGTTTAAATGAACATTGCCAAAAAAAAAATGTGCAGATGCTCAATTCTTTGCAGGATTTATAATATTATATAGGGACTGTTTTATAGCTCATTACAATAAAATGAGTTCGATTTATTACATGCCAAACAACAACAAGAATTACAAGTTGGAGAATAATTAGCTGGAATAGACATTTATTTTATCCTTTTACTAGCAAAAAAAAAATTGTAATTTTATGCTCCAGAAAATCTCATTCTTAAATTTTATATCTGAGTTTGTTTTGCCAAACTTGTATTATTTTTAAGTAGATGGTAAAATGTGCTCTCGAGGCCTCCATCCTATAAAGGACTTGAGAAATGCAGTTAATATGTGTCTGCTGTTCATGTTTGTTCTTGCGTATTTTTGTAAGCTACAGAACAAACTGGGCTGATCATTTTTTTTTAACACCCATCATTACCCCCAATCTTTCTTTTCGCTGACTCTTTCTCAAAATTCTCCTTCTGAGACAGGTTACACACAGTCCAAAGTGGACAACAAATGAGTTGTTGTACTTTAAGAGCTGGCATTTGGGCCAGGTGCAGTGGCTCACGCCTGTCATCCCAGCACTTTGCAAGGCCGAAGGTGGGTGGATCACCTGAGGTTAGGAGTTCGAGACCAGCCTGGCCAACATAGTGAAACTGCATTTCTACTAAAAAAAAAAATACGAAAATTAGCTGGCGTGGTGGTGTCTGCCTGTAATCCTAGCTACTCGGGAGGCTGAGGCAAGAGAATCGCTTGAACATGGAAGGTGGAGGTTGCAGTGAGCAGTGATCATGCCATTGCACTCCAGCCCGGGGGTGTAGGGGCAACGGAGCGAAACTCCATCTCAAAAATAAAAAACTTAAAATAAAAAAGAGCTACCATTTGAAAGAGCAGTATACAACATCAAGCTTCCAGACCATACCCTAGGCCCCAAGCAGGTGGCAGAAAATTTTCCTGTGGTATGGTCACTCTTCTCAAAGGCTTGTGATGCTTTCTGCTCC